ACGATAGTTCGTCAAGTTAGTGTTGTTTTAACCTTCGCAAGGACCGGGCGTAGCCACACTCGATTCAGCTAAAGTGAGAGATACAGACACCCGCCAGCCACCTTTAAACATGAGTGCTCGTAATGGTGAAACCAGTCTCGCGTAAGTGTACGCGTAATGTCGGTTCAGGCCGCTTCATCTCACAATACCGCCGAACCAAAGTATGACATGCTGGTAAGCAGTATGACTTGTATCGCCCACAACTCACTTGTGTTCTACTCGTGCGTATGACATCTACGCATAAAACCTGGCTCGGATGCCACTGTTGGGGAACGTAGTAATTTCAAAAAAATTCCTACGTACACGCAAGATCATGGTGATGACATAGCAACAAGAGGGGAGAGTGTTGTCCACGTACCCTCGTAGACCATAAGCGGAAGCGTTATGATAACGCGGTTGATGTAGTCGTACGTCTTCACGATCCGACCGATCCAAGCACCGAACGTACGGCACCTCCGAGTTCAGCACATGTTCAGCTCGATGACGATCCCCGGGCTCCGATCTAGCAAAGCTTCGGGGATGAGTTCCGTCAGCACGACGGCGTGGTGACGATGATGATGTTCTACCGGCGCAGGGCTTCGCCTAAACTCCGCGACGATATGACCGAGGTGGAATATGGTGGAGGGGGGCACCGCACACGGCTAAGGAACGACCGTAGATCAACTTGTGTGTCATGGGGTGCCCCCCTGCCCCCGTATATAAAGGAGGGAGGGGGAGGCTAGCCGGCCCTTGTGGGCGCCACAAGGAGGAGGAGTCCTCCTCCTAGTAGGAGTAGGACTCCCCCTTTCCTACTCCTACTAGGAGGGGAAGGAAGGGGGAGAGGGGGAAAGGAAAGAGGGGGGCGCCGCCACCCCCCCCCCTTCTAGTCCAATTCGGACCAGAGGGAGAGGGGGCATGCGGCCCACCCTTGCCGCCCCTCTCTCTTTCCACCAAGGCCCATGTGGCCCATTATCTCTCCCCGGGGGTTTCCGGTAACCCTCCGGCACTTCGGTTTTCTCTGACAACGTCCGGAACACTTCCGGTGTCCGAATATAGTCGTCCAATATATCAATCTTTATGTCTCGACCATTTCGAGACTCCTCGTCATGTCCGTGATCACATCCGGGACTCTGAACAAACTTCGGTACATCAAAACTTATAAACTCATAATAAAACTATCATCGTAACGTTAAGCGTGCGGACCCTACGGGTTCGAGAACTATGTAGACATGACCTAGAACTATTCTCGGTCAATAACCAATAGCGGAACCTGGATGCCCATATTGGTTCCTACATATTCTACGAAGATCTTTATCGGTCAAACCGCATAACAACATATGTTGTTCCCTTTGTCATCGGTATGTTAGTTGCCCGAGATTTGATCGTCGGTATCCAATACCTAGTTCAATCTCGTTACCGGCAAGTCTCTTTACTCGTTACGTAATGCATCATCCCGTAACCAACTCATTGGTCACATTGCTTGCAAGGCTTATAGTGATGTGCATTACCGAGAGGGCCCAAAGATACCTCTCCAACAATCGGAGTGACAAAACCTAATCTCGAAATACGCCAACTCAACATGTACCTTCGGAGACACCTGTAGTACTCCTTTATAATCACCCAATTACGTTGTGACGTTTGGTAGTACCCAAAGTGTTCCTCCGGTAAACGGGAGTTGCATAATCTCATAGTTACAGGAACATGTATAAGTCATGAAGCAAGCAATAGCAATATACTAAACGATCAAGTGCTAGGCTAACGGAATGGGTCATGTCAATCACATCATTCTCCTAATGATGTGATCCCATTAATCAAATGACAACACATGTCTATGGTTAGGAAACATAACCATCTTTGATTAATGAGCTAGTCAAGTAGAGGCATACTAGTGACTATATGTTTGTCTATGTATTCACACATGTATCATGTTTCCGGTTAATACAATTCTAGCATGAATAATAAACATTTATCATGATATGAGGAAATAAATAATAACTTTATTATTGCCTCTAGGGCATATTTCCTTCATCAAACCTCCTCAATGCTTGCTCGTAGATGTAGATTAGGGGTTTATTTCTTAGGCATGTGCTAGTAGTTAGTGGATTCGATAGGATTAGATAGGATTCGAGTAGATCTGATTGGATGTGAACCCAATCAGACCGATCTGTTCTTGTTTCGTATAGTGTGTGTCCTAGGATAATTTTCTTTTGCTACTGCTAGTGTGTGCTAGGATCTGTGTTCATGCTACTAGTTGTGTTCATGCTAGAATCCCCAATGGTAGTGTGCTTTGCTAGGATCTATGTTCATGGTAGGGTCTTGCTAGGATGTGTGCTCATGCAAATGGCATGTTCATGTTCAATCTAGGATCATGTTCATGTTGTTGTTCATGTTGCTAACATACATGTTCAAGCTAGAGTTTGTGTTGATTGTTATACGTGCATGTAGTAGGACCATTTTAGGATGCTGCCAATTGTGCATGGCTGCACATGGGTGCTATTGGCACTTGTTGTTGCTATTTTTAGATGTTTCCATGCTTAGGATAGTGCACTGATGAGTGGCAGTTGCAGAAAAGCAGATGCCACTGATCAGTAGACTTGCCCAACAGCAAGTACCACTGATCGGTGGCACTTGTTGTTGGGCTAGTCCACTGATCAGTGCCACTTATCAATGGCACTTGTTGTTGGGCAAAATGCCACTTATCAATGGCACTTGCTTTTGGGAAAGTCCACTGATCAGTGGCATTTGCCTAACAGCAAGTGCCATTGGTAAGTGGCATTTGCTCAAAGAGTTTGTGCACTGATCAGTGGCATTTGCTCTTGGGCAAATGTCTCTGATCAGTGCCATTTTGCAAAGAGTTTGTGCACTAATACTTGTCGTCTTACCTGACAAGATATTGAAGACTGACTGGGATTTGGTGGGTGGAGGAGCTTAGGTGGTGGCCGGAGCTGAGGGCGCCGAGGATTTCATCCCCACAAACAGGTGGCTCAGGACGGTGGACCTGCCTGGCAGGATCGCCTTCATGAGCCTGCCTCGTTCAAGGGGACGATCTCCGAGGCAGGGCCACGAGGAGGGGGCCCGGGAGCCGCTGCGCTTCTACCAGCAGATTAAGGACAACGAGGACCTCGCCATGCTCGTCGTCCCTCCCAAGTTCGTGGAGGTGATGAACACCTGGTTGGTCATCAAGCGGCTCCCGCACGTGGTCAGGCTATCGGCGAACAAGCGGTGCGTGTTCTGGGTGCAAGTCCAAAACTTCGAGGGGCACATGGTGCTTGGCCGGGGCTGGAACTACTTCTGCCGCCGCCACCGGATCGTCCCCGGCGACCTCGTCGTTTTGCGCATCTCAGGACTCGGACTGAAGGTTCAGATCTACAACCACGACTCATTGGTCATGTGCAGGTTTTGTTGCAGCAGGCACAACTGCCATGGTGACATCGAGCATGCTATGTAGTTAAGTTAAGTAAGGTGTTAGTGTTGAACTTTTATGGTGTGTGGCGAGACTTGTGCTGGGAACTTGTTCATATTTTGGCCAGGAGCAGCACCCTGGCGTGGAGCAGGGAAGGAGGATGCCCCTGCTGTTAATCTAGACTTATGCTATGTAGTTAAGTTTGCTGTCATTTCTTTGCTTGTTGTGTTAAGTTTGCTGTCATTTTCTTGCTTGCTTTGTTTGATCTTGATGTTGTGCTGATCATGTGGTGGTAAGGCCACCACATTTGAATGGGGTGAGCAGAAACACAAACAGTGTTTGCAACCAAACAACTGAAGTTTGCATCTGCTCACACCCTAAGCACAAAAACGCCAACCAACCAGCAGGGGATAAGTGCCCCTCCATGTGATGCCGGCAACCAAACAGGTTGCATCTGCTGCATATGAAGCTGCATTCCAAGAACCAGACTGGCTGAAGATGGACATGCAATACAACTACTATTGCAAACTGCAACCAAACACGCCATACACGAATGGTGGGCGACAACAAGGAAGCTAATTCCCAAGACCAAACGCAAGGACTTTGATTCCTTTGTTATGCTAGTTTGTTGGTGTCTGTCGAAGCAAAGGAACGGCAGAGTGTTTGTCAGGAGCGAGGTGCGTAACGAGCAAGGTACAGTACAGATCATATTTAAAGAGCGCAGTCTATGGGCGCTAGCGAGCAGGAGTGGAGTTTTGCATATATATTTTTAGCAGTCCCTTAGTGATCTTGGGGGTGTGGGAGGGTGTGCACATTTGAGGTGTTGCTTGCCAAAATATAATCTTTTGTACTCCCTCCGTAAATTAATATAAAAGCGTTTAGAACACTACTTTAGTGATCTAAACGCTCTTATATTAGTTTACAGAGAGAATACATATTTTTCTATCTTCTACTCCTTCCGTTTCAAAATAAGTGTCTCAACTTTATACTATTAGTACAAAGTTGTATTAAGGCTGAGACTTATTTTGGGACAGAAGGAGTATAAAGCTAAGGTACATCGTTGGCGTGCTCTCGAAAAAAATAAAATCGAGCCAATTGATCTGTCAGCCGAATACGAGCTTCGGAGTCTCAAAATATACATATGAAATATGAACTTTCCTGTTTCCTCCCCTTTGTTTAGTGATCGTGACACAGCTGATTAGCTTCCAAGAAATGGCATACAAAATTTGATTGCTCGCACGTCAGAGTACTGTGTTACAATTTATTGGCCCCATGGTAAAGAAGGCAGTATTCGATCAACTAAAAAAAGACTCACTTGGTGGACCGTGAAAATGCCTATCTCCCATCGGCCATGGCTACAAAGATTATTCCTACGGTTCAAGCCTTCACAAGGATCCTCGACTAACTCTCTACTGCTAATGGCTGACGAAGCACAGAGTTCTGATGATAATGTCTCCGCAATCTCATTTTGACACTTGGACAACATCCCAAGGAACTCATGAAGAAACAGGACCAAGAAACTACTTCAAGGATTTTAAGAAAATCCCCCACCCCTTAGCATGATAAACAGTGCTTTACTTCACTTGTTTTCATTTTGTTTGGGAATTCTCTTGTAGTCGTAGCTGTTTATGTCCACCTTTTGCTGCAAAGCCTATGATAATACAGAGGGGGGAGAGAGAGAGAGAGAGAGAGAGAGAGAGAGAGCTCATCAGCCAGACCAATCATGAAAAAATGGCAGGCCTGGTTTCTTAACCATATGAACAAACCATTACCTTCAGTTCGTCCTCTAGCGAGAGCTTCTTAGGCTTATAAGCCCCTTCCACTGGTCCTGTTCGGCTCAGAGCTTTTGTTTTCTCTACGACCTCCCATTCCATGTCCTCCTTTTCCTTTGTTACTTCTTTGCTGCAAAATAAAAATGAACCGGCACCGTCAAATATGTGAAACAAAAGGATATCTAGATACAATTACAGCCCATATTGGTTTCCTGTATTTTGGCCAGTGCAGAATGGTAAATGCCTTACCTTCCCTGTATGAGATGAGCTAGACCAACCGCACCAAACACTGTCAAAGAAATGAGCGGAAGGCCATATCGAACAAATGGATGCTTGCGTCCCCATCGTTTGAACTGTGAGGCTTGCTGAGCAATCTTAGCAGCTGGTTCCGTTGGATCAACTTTCTGAGTGGTATTCATGACAGAATTTGACATTTGCAAATGTAACAACTGCCACACACAAAAAGGTTGGCTTAAGGTCATGAAGTCGATAACACAGGAAGAAGGATGTGTTCTCGGATAATTGGGATGTTCTGGTGTACAATGGTTCATGACCATTCACTTTTTCAGATTAGCGTGTAGACTGCAGCTCATCCCTTTTAGCATTGAATTAATGATCAACTATACATGTAAGCTTCATTGAAAGCACCAGATTACTCACAGCGCTCAATAACCAGAAAAGAATATTCAAAGCACTCAAATCATCTTTTGGTGACCCAGACAGGCAGAAGATGTAAGACAGTAGAGCAGACAAAGTTTAAGCAAACTGACTGCAGTTTGTCAACACTTTGGTCTAATTCACAACAATAAGTCAACAATATCAAATGGAGTAAGCTAGTCTTGGGGTTAACTATAATAGCTACGCAATCATTTGGAATGAGCCCCTGGCCGGCAATGGATACCTCATATTTGCCTTGATCCCATGGGGTTGCCTCCAACATTAGCAGCAAAATCACTAACGAAATCACAAACATTACAGGATCACTCTGTTTCTGATTGTCATCAAGAATTTGCAATTAAAAAGTTATCTACACAGTGAGCACCAAATACTACTACAGCAATACTATCACAGGTTCATATACACAGGTTCATGATCAATACAATGAGCATCTACAAATCTCATTGCATCTCAACACATCTACACATGTGCATATTATGTTTACTCGCATTCAAAACTTAAGGCAACCAACACCAACCTTTGTGGCAGGTGGTTTCTGTCGAGGCAAAGAGTCGGCTGGGCGGCGAGCTAGGAATTTAATCTTTTGTCACTCCTTAATTTGTACTTCCTCTGTTCCTAAATATATGACATTTTGGTAGTTCAAATGAACTAGTATGTATTTAGGAACGGAGGGAGTATTTGATCTTTTGCCACTCTATTTTTTGCACTTTGATATTTTGCCTTTTTCCCCTCAAAAACAATCATTTCAATAGTAATGGAAAGTATATGCCCAAAACCATTGACCAAATTGCCATTTGTACACGTTTGACTGAATAATGAACAGGTCACGTAAAATCCCCAAAATTCCCCAAGTTGCCCGATGAGCCTAGCTTCCTCCGCCCTTGCTGCTCCCCGCAGGCGCACGTTGCTGCTGCTCCCCGCCGCTGCACCTTGCTGCTGCTCGTTGCCGCACCTGCAGCTCTCTGGCGCCGTCCCGTGCGCTTGCTGCTCCCCATTGCTCCCCACAAGCAGCAGCAGCAAGCCAGGGGCAGCGTCCATGTCGTGGACGCGGGAGACGACCAAGGGGCGGCGGCCAGGCCGAGGACGCAGGAGACGGCTAGGGGCGGCGGCGGCTAGGGGCGGCGGCGGCCAACAGGGGCACGGGGCGGCGGCGACCACCTAAACCTAGCCCTAGGTCGCCGCCGTGGGACATGGGGACTTGGCGAAGAGGGGAGAAGAGAGGAGACTCACCGTCGCCTTCACCGGGAGGGATCCGCCGCCGTCCGCCGGTATGTCGCCGTGGAGACCCCCCGTCGGCGTCGACGAAGAGCAGGGAACACGAACGCGTCCCTCTCCTGGTCAATTGACTTGGCAGGGGCAAAACCGGGAATTCAAGCGGGCCCCGCCTGTAAGATGGCAAAAGAGACCCTCTCTCTCCGTTTTGCGCTCTCCAATTCGCCGTCTCCGGCAAGCCGCGGAAGGGGGGCTCCTTTGGCCTTTGCCTCGTCAAGTCTCCCTGCTCCTAACGGTGACATAAGGGAGGCCAGATCGAACCTATGGCGTTCTTCAAAAACAAAAAAAAAAGGAAAAGGCAACACACGAGAGGAAGCAAATGCTATATTTCAGGAATCAGGAGGGGCTGGCACAGCCAAGGTTACTTTACTTCTGCATAGCATAGCTGAGAGAGCAATACAACCAACCATCCCATTACATCACATGGTAAGCAAATGTGCAGAATAGGTACGCAAGCGCGTCGCGCAATCACAGGCCAATCGAATGCCCAACATCGAGAGAGCTACGCTAGAGGCGCACCAAGCAGGTGATTTCTTTTGCAGACCTTTCAAGGCTTTTTCTGTACATTATACTGAACCAGCACAGTCGGTGCAAGCCCCCCATCCAGACCCCAGACACAGAGCTTTGTTTTACACTCGGTCAGCATTTTCTCCACTGGCGGCAAGGAAGGAAAAGCCTATCTTTTCTCTGAGGTTCCTACTAGTAACGTCTTGTTGTACCCTTGTATCTATACTCATGATCCTGAGGCTGAACATGGTCAGGCCAGGCCTGATGTTTCCTGCTCCTGCTCTGCAACTTCTTCGTCGTATGCAGGGCTTGTTTCTTCAGCCGGTTCCGGGGCCGCTTCGCTGGATTCCGGTGCAGGATTCAGAGGGCCCTGCGGGGTGCCAAACAGGGTGGAGAATATCTGCCGGTGGCACTCGTCGCAGAAACAGAAGTATGAGAAGTGGCCTTCGTCCAGAAGCTTGTGTACAGTGGCCCCCGGAACCATCCTCCGGGCAAACTCGGTCGCCGATGGGGGCACCACCCGGTCATCCATTCCCTGTTAAAAGAATGAACAGAGTTTAGTGCTTCATTCTCTTTTGTACTAACCACAAGTCACTCTCATTCAAATAGAAATCAAGCTCAAATATCCATATGATTGGAATAAACTACAACTGCGCACGAATATGCCAACTCAATTCAAAATCAACAATTATTTCTAGGAAACAGACTGCGAACCTGCCAAATGTGGATTGGGCCCAGAAATCCCACCCACTCTCGTTCAGCCTGACTGAACAGAGACTTGATAAATTCAAATACTCCCTGATCCTCTTTCTTCTGCATTTGAATGTCTGACAAGCTGAAACCCCAATCAGATACTTGCAGCACAGCTTCCTCGACAAATGGCTGCGCATCTCCCTGGCGCACAGACTCTGCAACATCCTTTTCCCAGAATGCGTTGAATGTAGGAGCTTCCAGTAAAGTTTTGTCCTGAGTAATGCATAAAGGATTAGTATTTGGCATGAAAAAGGGTGAATGCTCAAGCTTCGAAAATGAATCAGTTACTAACACTTCCATGCAGCAAAACAATGGTGAGGATGTTGCTATCCTTTATGAAACTGATGCTGCAATTACGGTATGACAAGGACAAAATAACATGATTCAGAGGGCATTGCAGTGCAGGCATGACAAACCGATGCCACTAACAGTAATTATTCTTTAATTCACTCAATAACTAAAGCTAAAAATGCTGTATCTATAGGGTCTTATATTGGTTAGATAAGGATTGAGTTGCAATTTTATTCAAATGTGATGTTATATCTTCCTATAAAGATCACAAGTTTCTCTTTTCCTAACTTCAACACATGGCCTACTCTTGTATCATTGTCTGAGGTATCCCACTACAATAAAATGTGATCTTCCATGTCTACAAGATACCCCACTACAAATCCTGCATTTGGTTCACCTAATGGGCGGGGATAGTACAGCAAACAATGGCACATAATGGTACCAATTCCCATATTTACAAAAGAAAACCAAGATAACATTTGCACCTGAAGATTGTACAGAACATTTTGTCTAAAAAACAGATTGTACGAAACACTGATAACAGCATACCTTCTTTCCCATTGACAATGATAACCAACTCTCAGGCTGTCCTTGCTTTCCAGAAAGGAAGCTTCGGTGATAGAAGAGGCGTAATAGTGATGGGAACCTCCGAGCTAAAATGTGCATTAGTTTTCGTTTAGTTGACCATCTGTCCCATATTTTACGTTTCTCATCCTTGGTCATCTTGGAGTCATATGGATTTGCCATAGGGGCGAACATTGCTGCACCTGGATTTACGGCAATGTGTCACCGACAAGAATTACATAGTAAGCGTAAAATATCACAAATACTTCAATAAAAATATGTAGGATCTAGTATGTTGTTAGAATATAACCCAAAAATGATTTTGACTGAACATAATTTTACAGCTTAAGATGGAATAGTGATAGACATGGAAGTAAAAACAGTCACTACTATAAAGGACAGGACAGACCCAGTGCATAGAAGCTCCCACACAGGGTGGGGTCTGGGGAGGAATTATATGAACCTAGTCTTACCCCTGCAAAAGTGCAACGCAGAGAGGCTGGTTCGAACCCAGGACCTCTTGGCATAAGTGGGGAGGACTTCACCACTGCGCCAGGCCTGCCCTCAAAAATAGTCATTAATATGTCTTGACAAAACTAAAATCCCAAAGAAGGAACAGGCATGTGGTGCTCTATATTAGAAGCATATCCTGTTGTTTTGCTTAACTAATGAAAATTAAAAAAAAACCTCGAAGACAGTATTAGACGATGTTTGGTCATCTGATTCTGTAACCATTACATTCTTATCAAATCAAAAGGATGGTAATTTGCTTAAGAGCGTCTGAAATACTGCTTTTTCTCAAGTCATGCCAGTAAGAACAAACATTAAGTAACAATCATAAGAAAGTATGATGTCGATACCAGACAATCAGAAGGCGCAATCACAAAAAATAAAACTGACTAACGGTGATATCAGCATCATGACCTATTTATCAAAGTAAGGGGAGGATACATATACGGAATAGGAAAGGCTTATGAACAGAACACTGCAAAAGAACATAGAATAGCAGCTGGTGTAGGCTACCTGCCACCCGGTCAGGAATGTAGCGCAGAGCACTCCAAGCATGCATGCCACCTCCAGAATAGCCTACAACCCAGAACTTGTCCACAATCCCAAGGGCATCGGCCAAATGAAGCATGTCTAATGCAGAAGAATTCAGATTTCGGCCTGGATGAGGATCACTTTCACCAAAACCAGGAAGATCATAGGTCACAAGTCGTGCCCCAAATTCCTCTAGAAGGGATGAGCTGATTCCAGGGATTCCTGCATAGAAAGGAGCACAATGGATAAAAACAGCAGCATGGCGCAATACAATAGCCCAGAAGCAATGTAACAGCTGTTCTTACCTGCTAGCCTTGACGAAAGAAATGAATGGGGAGCAACCAGTGAAAATCTTGCCCTGTCAGCTGAAATTCCT